TTTTAAACCTTTTTCTAATATTTTTTTAAAAATAAAATATTATTTTAAAATTTAATATTTAAATTTTTAATTTTTTCTTAAATATATAAATATATAAAGATATAAAGATATAAATATATAAAAATATAAATAAATATATAAATATATTATTATATAAATATATATAAATATGTAAATATATAAATATAAAAATATATAAATATGTAAATATATAAATATATCAATATTTAAATATATATTAAAATATATAAATATATTTGTATTTATAGATTTTATAAATATATAAAGATATAAATATATAAATATATGTAAAGATATAAAGATATAAATATATGTAAAGATAGAAAGATATAAAATATAAAGATATAAATATATAAATATATAAATATATAAATATGTAAAGATATAAATATATATCTTTAATATTTTGTACATGTAAATATAATTTATATATATTTTTAAAATTTTTTTAATATATTATTTTTAAAAATATAATATTATTTTTAAAATTTAATATTTTTATTTTTATTTTTTAAATATATAAATATATAAAAATATAAATGTATAAGGATATAAATAAATATATAAATATATCAATATATAAATATATCAAAACATAAATATATAAATATATCAAAATATAAATATATCAATATATATATATATATATATATATATATATATATATATCAATATATCAATATTATCCCCTCATATATTATTATACATTATTAGCATAATTTTAGTTTAATTAAAAATTAGAATACAAATATATTATATTATATTATATTAATATATCATTATATTATAATATTTGTAATTTATTTTTATTGTGTATAAATTACAAAACTAATAATTTTTAAAAAATTTAATGATAATATTTTTAACTTATATATTACAGAATATTTTTTAATACTTTAAAAAATATAACTTTTTTTAAATATTTTCATTAATTTAAAGTATAACTTTTAATATTTTTTTAGTATTTTTTTAAATGTGGATATCTTTAATATTTTGGACATATAAATATAATTTATACATGTTTTTAAACCTTTTTCTAATATTTGTTTTTAAAAATATAATATCATTTTTAAAATTTTATAGATTTATATTTATATATTTATAAAAGTAATTGGATTAAATTTATTATCCCCTCATATATTATTATACATTATTAGTGTAATTTAATTTAATTAAAATTAGAATACAAATATACTATACTAATATACCATTATATTATTTTCATTGTATATAAATTACAAAATTAATAATTTGTATACTATACTATACTAATATATTATTTGTATACTATACTAATATAAATATATAAATATAAAATTTATAAAATTTTAAAAATGATATTATATTTTTAAAAACAAATATTAGAAAAAGGTTTAAAAACATGTATAAATTATATTTATATGTCCAAAATATTAAAGATATCTACATTTAAAAAAATACTAAAAAATATTAAAAGTTATACTTTAAATTAATGAAAATATTTAAAAAAGTTATATTTATTAAAGTATTAAAAAATATTTTGTAATATATAAGTTAAAAAAATTATCATTAAATTTTTTAAAAATTATTAGTTTTGTAATTTACATACAATGAAAATAATATAATAGTATATTAGTATATAAATATATAAATATGTAAATATATAAATATATCAATGTATCAATATATCAATATTTAAATATATATTAAAATATATAAATATATTTGTATTTATAGATTTCATAAATATATAAAGATATAAATATATAAAGATATAAAGATATAAATAAATATATAAATATATAAATATGTAAATATATCAATATATCAATATTTAAATATATATTAAAATATATAAATATATTTATATTTATAGATTTTATAAATATATAAAAATATAAATATATATATATATATATATAAAGATGTAAATATATAAATATATAAAGATATAAAGATATAAATATATGTAAAGATATAAAGATATAAAGATATAAACATGTAAAGATATAAATATATATCTTTAATATTTTGTACATGTAAATATAATTTATATATATTTAAATATTTTTCTAATATTTATTTTTAAAAATATAATATTATTTTTAAAATTTAATATTTAAATTTTTTTAAAATATATAAATATATAAAGATATAAATGTATAAGGATATAAATAAATATATAAATATATCAATATATATATATATATCAAAATATATATATATAAATATATTAATATATAAATATATCATTATATAAATATATATATATATATATATATATATATATATCAATATATTAATATTATCCCCTCATATATTATTATAAATTATTAGGTAATTTTAGTTTAATTAAAAATTAGAATACAAATATATTATATTATATTAATATACCATTATATATGTTATAATATTTGTAATTTATTTTTATACTGTATAAATTACAAAACTAATAATTTGTATACTATATACTAATACATAATTTGTATACTAATAGTATAATATACTATATTATAATATTATTTATATACAAAACTAATATCTTTATATCTTTATATATAAATATGGAAAGATATAAATATATGTAAAAATATAAAGATATAAATATATAAATAAATATATAAATATATCAATATTTAAATATATCAAGGTATAAATATATTAATATTTAAATATATATTAAAATATATAAATATATTTTTATTTATAGATTTTATATTTATATATTTATACGGATATATATTTATTTGTATATAAATATAATTTATTTGTAAGTTTTTATTAAAAAATCCTAGTAGCTCAGTAGTTGGAGTTTCAACCTCCAAGTCTAAAGTACTAGGTTCGAATCCCGACAATGACAATAAACCTAATAATAAGTTAAACTTCTAAAAAATATAATATAATTAAGAGTTAGGAGAAATAAATAATAAATATAATTAAAAATGTAAATAAATAATCGGTCGCTATTTTTTAACTTTGTCACCGATTTAGCTACTAATTTGATATATTAATTTTGGTCGCTATTTTGCGACCGAAATGAAAATCGGTCGCTAACACATAGCGACTTGGCTTGTTGTGACGACGCCTTTCAATCGCTAACTCGATTAATGACCAATTTTTTGACATTAGCGACCGCTTTTTCGGTCGCTAAAATGATTTTTTCTTGTTGTGAATCTTCCTAGCGTTATTTTTATCGAAAATTTCGAACAAGTATGATGGAGAAGATGTCTTTCTCGTATAACAATCTAAGTTTTCGACTATTTTCAAAGAAGAATCAACACACAAATTATATATATAAACTGAATCCAATATGTTTACTCAAAATAAAGAAGGTTACATGCAATGAAAGTAAAAATAAAATAAAAAATAAACACTAATATTCTCATTGTCATTGATATACGGCATAGATAATAAACATCTTGATTCTTGCTTTATTTCCTTTAAAATTCTAAATTAAATCTTTAAAGACATGTAATCAAATTAAAAATCTTTTACCAAAAAAATTATAAAAATAAATGATTTTGTTAAGGATGATCAATGAACTCGAACAAAGTCCATTTGAACAATTAACTACACTTTAAATGTATTGGAAAGAACTTTATTGAAGGTTAAAAAAAAAATAAAAGTTGATTTACAAATATATACCAATGCTTAAATAAAACCAAAATAATAATAATAATAATAATAATAATAATAATAAAGTATTTAAATGAAAATAAAATTATTTATAAAAAGTATAGTAGTTTTATTTATAGTTTTATTATCATAATATTTTAGATAGTAAATTGTAGTTTCTTAATGCTAATTATTTTACTTTATATTATGTGTGATGATTTTCATTTATTAATAAAATATTTTAATTATACAATAAATTGAAAATTTGAGAATGCAAAGATAAACATATTTACAAAATCCCACTTCAAAAATAAATTATGTCATTTATAAAATATAAATATATATTCGAAGAAATTAAAAGGAAGTAGCTGCAGCCAAAGAAGACCATCACCAATATTGGTTCAGGATTAACACTGCTTATTTTACGCGTGAAAAGATAAGGGAAGAAAAAGGTAAATTCATTATCAAAATCTTAAAGCAGATTAGAACAGATCAGTATAATAGAGAATCTGCATGATGAACTTACAGCATGATGAGAGGGACATGATATCTAGAATAAAAGCAATGAAATTTATACATGTCTCTCTGCCCACACTGCTATGCAACACAATTAAGTCAAAGTCTTATGAGATACTCTTCTGGCCAACAAAAATTCTGAGAACAAATTCACATGACAATGCCATTGCACAAACATGGGTAGCCACTTACCACTGTACTACTATCTCGTTGCCTTCACTTCTGAAATATTATTCTGTTCGCACAACAATTATTAACAATAAGCAAACAGTTTCGGACTTTGGGGAGGAAAATGAGCCAAAGTCAACTCCTGCTTTTTCCTGGCTAATTCTTAAAACTACACGTAGCAGATTCAAAATTTATTCCATGCAATAAGAAGGGTTTCGGATAGGGAACAAGGGTAATTTGTAGTACGTAAAAATGTTCTGGGATGTTTCCTTTTGTGCTTATAAATACTCAGGCAACCAAAGGGTTTGAAACGTGGGTTTGGAAGAGCAGAGTGTACGTAGTTGAAGTTGAAATTGTTTGCTCAAATGTCTTGCATGAAGAGGTAGAGAGAGTGCTTTTGAGCCAAGGATGACTTGCCGGCATAACTATGATATCTTCTTACGATTTTTGTCGGCGAGACATCTTGGCTCACTTGTGCTCCCTTTCCTCTCATATGAGACTCGAAAGAGCTTTCTTGGTTGAAATGATATATCAGATAGCTGTAAAAGTGTGACTTGACCTATACATAATCATATTCTAAAATGTAGTTGCAGTTTTGTCATGATTATTTATACTGTGAAGAATCCATGAATTGTGCAGCTGATGGAGGTAATTGTGATTGAAATGTGGTTGCAGAGAACTGAAAAAGTTTTACACTGCAATTACGATTTTGGATCATGATTTAAAACCATGTATACAATATTAATTTGTGAGAGAAAACTGTGAAACACGTACAGCTGCATGGCATGTTTCCTGATAGTATGTTCATCAAGTTTGGTTGCCCTTCTTTTTTCTGTTTCTCTTATCCTTGTTTTTAAATATCCATTTTCTCTTTTTCTTTCTCATAGGGTCCTTTGATCCACGTGAATTCACACAGAAGAAGCATGATTGGAACAAGTGTAAGAGAATGTATGAGCAACAGTTTAATGCTTTGTAGTTTAGAGAATATCTTTGAGAATGCAAACCATGAATGAAATTTGTTAAAAGGAAAATGATGATGCTACGTAACGAATGTCATTTCATAAATTTGACATTAAACTGTAAAAGAAAAATTCATTTTTCTATTAATTTAGACAAAAATAAAACTGAGAAAATACACATAAATTAACAACAAATAATAATAATAATAATAATAATAATAATAATAATAATAAAAAGATTGATTCAATTTGCAAATGGAAATTGACTCTCAGATTTCCCTCAGGTCATATGAAAATGTTGTGCCTAGTCAAAGATTCAGATGGAAAAGTGCACTACTTTATACTTTAAAAGTCGAAGCTTGAAGGACTCTAGCAAATTGATGAAGTAAATTTTAAAATTATAATTTTATACTTTTAATGGTATACTTTATCGACATCATGTCAAGTACACTAATATACACTACTGGAAGAAAATTTATGATGAAGCAACGTAGAAAATAATGGAAATTTTAAGAAAATTATATTTAGATCAATTTTTATTTATTTATTTATATTATATTTTTATTATACTTTATAATATATTATTTTATTATATTTTATAATATATATCCAGTATTTTAAAATTGGAGATTGATACTCTAATCATTCTATTATTATAATTTTTTTATAAATAATTTATAAATAAATTATATTTATATACAAACTATATAAATATATTTATATATTTTGATATATTTATATATTTAATTTAAATTATTATAATTTTTTTATAAATAATTTATAAATAAATTATATTTATATACAAACTATATAAATATATTTATATATTTTGATATATTTATATATTTATATATTTAATTTTTTACTAGTGTTATGGAGATGAAAATAATTTAACTTTAAGTTTTAAGTATATAACTGTTAATTTATCTTAGAAATAAAATATAATATTTGCTGTTAAATTCTAAAATTCTATTTTATTTTTTATTAATAAATTTATATAAAATTTGAAATTCTCGTATCAAATTTTTTTTCAAAGTTTTATAAAGTTAAATGATGCGTGAGTCTTTCTAGGTGTCAGAAAATGCTGCGTAATCCTGCCATTAGGGGGTAAAAAGGTGTAAAGAAACTTTTACTTTTACTTTCTTCTTTTTCAATAGTGAGCAATTATTCTCCGAATACATATATCTCATTTCAATTAATAATGACAAATCAATTGACTGTGGGAGAATTGAAGAGGGTATTACACAAAATTCGTAATGAACATCATATCATAGCAGGGTGAATCAACTTTCCCATTAGGTCAGCAATGGTGTGGTTATGTTGAAAAAATAGCTTTTTCATGTTAAAAAGTTTTTTTTTTTATCAGTTTAAAGACAAAGCTAAATTAAAATAATGAGAATAATATTATCAGGCAAAACTCCATGAAAACCAGGTCATGGACAGAAAGTATTCTAAACCAGATTTTAAATTGGGAAGGTTAGAAGAAAGATTATTACTCAGAAAAACCAGAACACACAAATTATATCCAACCATTGAGATAATACTTTCCTTTTATAAAAATTAAGTCTAGTTCCTAACCTATTCGAATTGTTTTTCTAAGTTATAGTTAGCACTTGAAGAGCAAAACAATTCATGAATGTGTTTAGAAGGTTACAATTTATTTATAAAATATGAATAAATGTTTGAGGAAATTCATGAAAGTTGCAGAAAGAAGATCTCCAATGGTTCAGGAACAACACAGCTTACATGATTTTACGTGTGAAAATATAAGGGGGAAAAAATGAAAAATCTAGAGTGAAATCTTAAAGCAGATAAGAACATATTAGTATAATAGATAATCTGCATGATGAATTTGCACTAATAAAGGGGGAATATATCTAGAATAAAATGTAAGCAAAAAATTATCTTTTTGTGTAAATTTCTAGGGTTAAAAAAATATTAAATAATATGTAGTTTTACTTTACTTAATCATGCTCTATAAAAAAAATTAGGAGTGTTATCAGACTCATAAGGTACTTAAACAAAAATTCAAGAAATAGAAATTTGAAGATGAATTTCGTGCACTCTTTATTTCTCACATATATTAGTAAGAATTTCAGATAATCAAAGTAACGATAAAAAGATAGAAAAATAAATCTACTCATTATGAAAATAATATTATAATTATATAAGTCAATATTATAAATTAAAATTATTTAAAATAAAAGGAAATTGAATTTATACATGATTCTCTACCCATACTGCTATGGAACCCTATTAAGTCAAATTCTTACGAGAGACTCTTCTGATAAAAAAAAAATTCTGAGAACAAATTCACGTGACAATGGCGATGCAGAAACATGGGTAGCCACTAACCACTATAGTACTATCTTGTTGCCTTCAATTCTGATATACGATTCTATTCCCACAACAATTATTAACAATCAGCAAACAGTTTCGGCCTTTCGGGAGGAAATGAGCCAAGTCAACTTTTTCTTCTTCCTAGCAAATTCTTAAAGCTACGTGTAGCAGAATTCAAAATTGATTCCAGGAATGGTTTCGGAAAAGTAACAAGGGTCAATTTCTAGTACGTAAAAGTTTGTTACGGATGCTACTTTTTTGTGCCTATCAGTAGTATACACAACCAAAGGGTTTGGAAGAGTAGTGTCTTGCATGAAGAGGTAGATAGAGTGCTTTTGAGCCAAGGATGACTTTCCGGCATAACTATGATCTCTCTTCTTAGGGTTTTTCCGGCGAGACATCTTGGTTCACTTCTGTTCTCTTTCTTCTCATATGAGACTTTGGAAAAGAGCTTGATTGAAGGAGTGATGTTCAATAAATTGTACTTAGAGTCTTTCTTAATCATTGACATTGTGAAAATTTTCTTAAAAATGCAGCTAATGCAGTGAAATTTGTTGCTGCGATGCAGTTAAAGTAACAGATAGTTGCAATATTTTACTTTTTTTTGCAGATTATAATTCAGAACCATATATATAATGCTTAATTTGATAGGGAAAACTGAGGAATACGTAAGTAACTGCATGGTTCTTGTGTTAGTGATTAGTTGAGGATGAGATAAAACCTTTTGAAGATCCAGTTTCTCAATTTTTTTCTCAGAGGGTATATCATCCTTTGATCCACTTGAATTCAGAAAGATGGTGCATGATTGAAAGAAAGGTACAAGATTGTATCAACAATGTCGGGACCATATATCTTTGGCAATTGAAGCCATATAATAGTCGGATCTTATTTTCCCTTATCACTTCTTATACTTAGCTTTCTCACTAAAACATATATCCCTTATGAGGTTTTAAGGAATATTGATTCATTGTTTAGCTAATAAAATTAATTAGTATTATATTTGATTAATTTTGATGATGTCAGAAATTTATTTAGAATCCTTAAAGATTTTTGTTATGATGAAACAATAGAGTGAGCACTTTTAAAGACATTACTTAAGATATATAAATGATATATTTGTGAAAAAGAAAAGTTTTTTTTTTTTAGAATTCTTATAGTTATAAGATCATTATCATAATAATAATAATAATAATAATAATAATAATAATAATAATAATAATAATAATAGATCATTTAAACTTATTATTAAATATCTAGTATCATATGAGAATATAATTATATTATAATAAGAAGTTGAATTGAGGAGATGATAAAAAAAAATTGATATACGGTCTTGAAGTAAGTGTTGGGCAATGATAAAAGTGAATGTGAGAAACATGAAGCATGCTACTATAATTATGAATATATAGTATTTATTTTCATTTGAGAAGAAAATTTTAGAGGGATAAAATTATCGCTACTATATATCGGCCAAAGCTAAAAGTGTAGAAGTAAATTTTAGAGAATATCTATAAGTAATAAATGCTGGAATTTTTTCAAGTATTCACGGTGAAAAATTAACATTAATTTTAACTCAAAACACATTCACATTACTTTTAATTTAAAAATTTAAGATATTAAATTATAGGAGACTTTAACTTATACTTGAATTCTCCCTAAACAATATAATATATTAATATAGATAAAGAAACAAATTTAACTAAAATTATAGAAAGAAGAAGATATAATAAGGAAAGTTAAGTTAAAATGACGTACACAAGAGTAATATTAAAAAAAAATAGAAACATTGAGAATGAATTCAAGATAAGGTTCGTTGTAGCAATTAAATATAAGGTTAATTATGATATAACTTTCCTAGCCTAATCAAATTTTAAAAGTTAGAGGGTGGATTTGTAAATAATAGAAATAAATATTTTTATAAATTTTCTTTATATATTGAAGAAACATTAATTTAGAGAATAAAATTGGTTTAATATTATATGAACAATAATAAACCCTAATTTATACGCCAAATTAATTTAAAATCCGTGAGATGTAAAAAAAAATTATAGAACAATCCCTACCAAATTCCTAACATTTTCTACGAGTTGACCATTAAGATGAAAATGAATATGAATAGAGTAGGCACATGTAGTAATTACCCGCTACATTATAAAACAAAATTAGAAATTAAAAAATTTCAATTTATATTTTTTTCTCTTCAACTTCACATTGACCATTTTTGAAATTTGAGGAGCTTAAAAGAGAAAATAAATTCATTAGAAATATTATTAATTAAATAGAAGCATCTCAATTATGTTTCCTATAATCCCGAAAAATCTCATGTTGCTCAGTATATATATTTATTTAAAGTATTATCTTTCCTTCTTCTAAATACATAAATTTATTAATAATTGAATCATATAAAAAGTTTTTCATTTTGAATATAAATGATCATGTAGATTCACAAGCTTGTTATAAGATGGAGAGTTCTAAAACTCTAAGACTTTGCTTTCATCAAAGCATTAAGTTTTTATGAAGAGGTTATGTCAAACAAAACAACCTATATAAAAAGGTTTTTTCTATATTGATTTTTAATATATAAAGTGTTTTGTAAATGAATAATAAAGCAGAATTATCATTTAGATTAAAATAAAAATAAAAAATTGTGGTTGTAGTTGTAGTTGTATATATACATTGACAATTAAATACATTATGAGTATAATAATATTATAAAGTGTGTCTCCATCAACGTAAAAGTAAACATAAAGAAGAAGAGTGATTGAAGAATAGAACAATTAGAAGAAGTAATAAGCCCTTAACACGTTGTATCTCTCTTGACCAAAATATTGAGAGATTGTTCGACGATGTTTAACTTTTGTTGAATTTGTTTATTGGCTGAGACCTTATTCGCCTACTATTACTGCTATATCTTCTTCTTCTTTATAGCAAAATCTTCATGGTCAAAGGTGTCCCATCCCATCCCATCCCATCCCATATCATCTTATCTTTCTTCAAATCATTTCCACACTTTATATCAATTATATTATTCCTTAGCTTATCACCATATATATACTAATCACTAAGGTATCATACACAAACTTATCTTTTACCTAAATTATTCTTGGTCAAAATTTGCGGTTCTCACATTAAAAAAATTGATAGTGTAGATTGAATTAAACATTAATCTTAATGTTATGTTAGAGGTATGATTTAATTTAATATATATATTAGTCTGATTTAATTTATTTATTTTTAGATAATATATCGAATTAAAACCTCTTAATATTAATACAAAATATAACAAAAATGACGGCTTTTTGACAACAATTATTAATGAATCTTATAAAAGTGACATTTTTAAAATTAATTTTTTTTTATCAGTGATAATAAAATCATCTTTCTATGATTTATATTTGGTTCAACTTTCCATTTTCTCTTTGGTCTTAGTCACACTTTCTTGTAGTAGTGTTTCTCGGTGGTAGATCTTGACTATTGATTCTAAATGGATCAAAAATATATTATTAAAAAATAATAAATAAATATAAAAAGGTAAAAGAAAATAAAAGAGCGAAATGATAAAATTATAAACGTATAAGTAAATATATAAAATGATCATTAAGTTTGGAAGGATAAAATCATAATTATATGTGTTGGGAAAAATATGCTGAATCTTCCCATATGGTCAGATCTGTGAAAGTGAAATAAAAGCGGAATAATTGCACACACAAGTTGATAACGGAGTTCGGCCAATAATGCCTACGTCTCCGGACTACTATAGATCTCTTTCTGGGAGAAAAGAAAATACACAAGTGTTTACAAAACACTCTCAAAACACTCACAACTCATAACCCAATTACACCCAGAAGCTAAACTAAAACTCTCTAGTTTTTCTGCCTCTCACTGGTGCCACTCTTTCTTCTCTAAGAGAAGTAGTATTTTGTGTGGGATGGGATGATTTTGCTTGAAGGAAGAAGACCAATTTATAGCAAAAATTGGTACTGTGCATTACAATAAAATATGTCCCATGAGCACCTCATGGTTACATAAAAAATTTGGCAGCCACCCTTGCCCACTTTCTTTGACCAATTGCAGCCACCCTTGCCCACTTTCTTTGACCAACAATCTCCCACTTGAGGACCGATTTCAATTTGTCCTCACACCTTGATCAATAGTAGTCTTCTCTTGTCTGTTATCCTTGTAAGCTAACTGAAGTTGAGCACAACTTCAGTTTGTCAATAGTCACCACCTTTGTTAGCATATCTGCTGGGTTCTTACTTCCCACAATTTTCTTCAATGTTAGCATCTCATCCTCAAGTAGAGATCTGATGAAATGATAACGTATGTCGATGTGTTTGGTTACGGAGTGAAATGCTGAATTTTTTGCCGGATGTATTGCACTACGACTATCACCTGTGCAAAACACTCCTTTCTTGAATGAATCCCAACTCGCCAACAATCCTTGAAGCCATATCAATTCTTTGCGGCTTCATCACTGCTACATACTCGGCCTACGTAGTGGATAAAGCAACAATCTTACGTATCCGCGACATCCAACTAATAGTCTGTAGTTCCAACGAGTAAACACATACCCGAGTGGTGCTTCTTCGGTGATCAACTTCACCTCCAAAGTCTGCATCTACGTAGCCCTGCAATTTTAGATCTCCCTTTCTAAAATACGAGACATTTTTCTGTTGTGCCTCGTAGATACCTTAGAATCCATTTGACTGCTTCCCAATGAGCTTTTCCTGGATTTGACATGAATCCGCTTACAACTCCCATTGCATGGCCAATGTCCGGCCTCGTACGAGATCATCGCGTACATCAAACTTCCAATGGCTGAAGCATACGGAATCTTAGCCATTAACTCTTCTTCTTCCTTTGTTTGAGGAGACTGATCCTTGGATAGACGAAAATGGCAAGCCAAAGGTGTATTGACTGGTTTGGCATTGTCCATTTTGAATCTCTGCAAAACACGGTTGATGTACTCCGCTTGAGATAAGCTGCAAAACTCCTTTTTGCTTATCTCTCGTGATTTGCATTCCAAGAATCTTCTTTCTTGGGCCTAAGTCCTTCATGTCAAATTCTTTTGACAACTGCTTCTTTAAGTTTATGATCTCATTCATATCTGAACCTCGCTACTAGCATATCATCAACATAAAGTAGCAAAATGATATAACTGGACTTATACCTCTTGAAGAAACAACGGTGATCAGCGTTGCACTTCGAAAACTCTCCTTGTGCATGAAGCTTTCGAACTTCTTATACCACTTGTCTTGGAGCTTGTTTCAGGCCATACAAGCTCTTTTTCAATCTGCACACCAAGTTCTTCTTTCCTTCGAAAAACCTTCAGGCTGGTGCATGTAGATCTCCTCATCTAAATCTCCATGAAGAAATGCGGTCTTCACATCTAATTGCTCTA